TGTTGTCACTGTGTCTTTTTCTGCAGATTTTGCCTGACTCACTGGGGCCTAGTCGTCCTGATCCTTGGTGTGGCGACCACATGGGTGTTCAGGAACAGCGGTGTGGACTGTTGAAGAGTGCTATTCTTCGTGGTCGAGCGCGCTGGTTGCGGCAGGAAGGCATACATGATGGGCTGTGGTCAGACCGGCTGAAGATGGGGTGCGATTGTTCCGGCCTGGATGCGCCCTTCATTGCTGCTGGTTGCCTTTCTCTTCCAGTGCAGCAGGTGTTTTCCTCAGACATCAGTCCGAAGGCCCAGGCCTGGTTGAAGTCATTGGGACACACCGAGACCTTGTTTCGCGATATTGTCAGCCGGTCGACGAAGGACTTGCCCGATGTTGACGGTTACATCGCCGGTTTTCCCTGCCAGCCTTTTTCTCATCAAAGCCATCTTGCTAAGGGTTTTGGCGATGTTCGCACCAAGGTGCTGGACGCATGCCTGCAGAGTGCTGCCGCAATGCTGCCACTGTTCATTGTCTTTGAGAATGTCTTGGGCCTGAAACGCTACATGTCCGAATTCCTGGAGAGGCTGCGCAAGCACAAGCTGCTGAGCAAGTACCAGGTCTGCATCCTCCCTTTATGTCCCCGGATAATGTGCCGGGAGCCCACTGCGAGACCCCGGCTGTACATGCTTCTGGTGCGACGTGATCGCTTGCTGCTACAGAACAGCGCGCAGGTCAACGACTTCTTGCAAACACTAATCTCGGAAGTCATGACCACCATGCCGGATGCAGCTGTGGGCGATTTCCTCGGAGATGACGGGGCAACAAGGGCTGCAACACAGGCCCGAGGGACAAGACCGGATGCTAAATGGATCAAGGAGCACAGAGCAATGCGAAAGAAGGTGCGCATGAGTCCTCCTAGCCTAGAGTCACTTGGCTCTTTTTCTGCGAGGTCACGAAGCACTGTGGAATATGTTGCGCACACTTGCTCTCTGCCGCTTGTGGTGGACGTGTCGCAGAGTCTTCACAGGATCCCAAAGGGAAAAACCATGGCGTCCCTTGCATGACCACCGGCTCCGACCTTGTGTATGTGGAAAGCCCCAACAAGTACAGGCGTTTGTCTGCCAACGAGGTCTTAGCCCTTCAAGGCTTTCCCATGGACAAGTTGAGACCGCCCACGTCATTGACGGCGCGAGACCTTCGCTTCATGGCCGGCAACACAATGCACATTCGAGCCATTTCCATGGGCATTCTCCTTGCTTTATCATTGATCCGCTGGTCGTCCTCTGTGCCAAGCGAAGCGGAGACAGATACTGCAGACGAAGAGCCTGTGATTCTCGAATGGTCGAAAGGGCGACTGGAGAGAGTTTGCTGGACATGTCTTTTGAAGAAGTCAAAGAGCAAGACAGTGACAGCAAACAGCAAGAAGGGTGCAAAGCCACCTAAGAAGAAGGCTGCAGTCAAAGTCACTGCAAGCTGTGTTGCTAAGAAGCCAAGCTGCCTGAAGCGTCGCCTCAGTGAAGTGTTTGGGCGGCAAAGCCAGCAGCGTACAAAAGCTCAGCAACCCCAAAAGCAGGCGAAGGGCAGCACTGTCACTAAGAAGAAAACTGTGACACCTCGCCGCCGCCTCAGCGAAATTTTCGGCGCGTAGAATTCTGTATTAGTCACTGGCGATGCGAAGGGGTGCTCGTTCAGGGAGGAAAACATGTGTGAGCTACAGGCTTGACTTTTGCTATAGACTTGCTTTTGAAACATGGCCGCAGTCACATGTGCTAAGCCAGCTGGTGGTTGTTGCTTGACCTGGCAGGCTTCTGGAATTTCAAAGCTGCATATCCTTGGCCACGGGGCCCAGTCATCGTCACTCACAGTCAAACTTGTGGGCTTGCTGGCCGGGAAGGCTTGGGGAATTATGCTGCTCCGTATCTTTGGCCGGGAGCCCAGATAGTCATTAATAGTCAAACTTGTGGGCTTGCTGGCCGGGCAGGCTTGTGGAATGATGGTGCTGCTTATCCTTAGTCGTGACACCAGTCATAGTCATTCACAGTATTAAACTTCTGGGCTTGCAGGCGTGGAAGGCTTGCGGAATTATGCTGCTCGTCCTTATCTTTGGCCGGGAGCCCGGTCAGAGCCATTCATGTGGGGCTGCTTTCTTGTGGGGCTGCATTTGAAAGAAAGACCTCAGGACCCAGACATGTTAAGCTAATAGTACTAGCAGGGGACTGACTTTGCTGGGGGCTGCTCCGGAACTGGACCGTTGGAACATAAAATTACCTCGCAATCTTTTAAAAGATTCTGGGGTAATGTCCGGGTTTCGTTTAAAGGTATTACCTCCATGAAAGACGTAGGAATTGCAAGGTAATGGTTATATATCCATCAATGGAATTACCCCAGAATATTTTGAAAGATTGCGAGGTAATTTTATAGCATGCGCGCCAAGCAATTACCTCTGCAGTCTCTGTGGCTGTCAGTGTCAGTGTCGCTTCAGCTAGGGTAGTAGCCTCTCTCTGCCATGACAAGAGCAAAGCGAGCTGAGAAACCAGAGCCTGCAGCTGAACCAGCTGTTCCTGCCAAGGTGCCCAGGCTGGCGGAGAAATTATTGTCAAGCGGTCCCCTTGCTCGCCCAGAGATGCCGCATGAGAGTGAGAGCCTTGGCGCAGACGCAGTGGAGATCATGAAGAAGTTGATCCCATGGGCGCCTTCGCCAAATCTCATGCATGGTAAGATCAACCCAAGAGGTCAGCATGTCGTGGAATGTTTGTCTGCTGCTGCTTAAGGTGAATCATGCCCTGCCTCCAATTCTTCACAAAGCGACGATAACTCAGCAGGCAGATGCTACGTTGAGGTCGCACCCGCCTTTGATGATCGCACGAGACGGGGATGACATTGGGCTTTTCAGCTGCGCTTCCATTCTGATTCGTCTGCTGGCAGGTGAAACTTCTTGAAAAGGTGTGTATAAATAATAAATATGAGGTTCAAGGAGCCGTGGAAGCCAGACAACTGCTACTTCGCATTGTCAAAGCACGGCTTATACGAAGCAGCCGGCAATGTGTGTTGGATAAATCCGTTGCAGGGCTTGGACGTTCCACAGGACTCGCCAAGTTGGAAGAATGTGGTTGAGCTTTCGAAGAAGTTTTGCGAAGGGCCGGAACCAGCCAGACTTGCACAATGAGATACTCTGGCCTTTGCCAGTTTACTGCGTAGTCCAGAGCCAGCCTGCTCAGGATGCTTTCCCTGCCACCATGTTTTGTATCGCTGGGCATGCCCTGGTGTTCGCATGGTACTACGCTGTCGCGAAAGCTATGGACTCCAACGACACAGGCTGGCTGCGCCAACTCTTCCGCTGTGGTCTCAGTGTCACTATCACTCTGCATTACAGCACGGTCCAAAAGAACCTCATACTCATTGCCCTCAAGTCCAATGAGAACTACGGTGCTGCAGAGGACCTGGTTGAGACATTCCCCATATTTGCCAAGCGTGTGGAGAACCTCCTCAACGAAGCCAAGAAGAACCATCTCAAGCTCGATGACCGTGTGGCGTATTTGGTCGAGTGCGGTGTTATGTACAAGAAAACATCGTTTTCAAAACCTTTGCTGAACGCTTGCATAGCCATGAAGCGATTCTCAACGCGGAGCTATGAAATCCTCAGATTGATACACAAGGAGTTCGGGCAGGAGGTGTTCGACGGCTACGGAAAACTGCCAAGGTTGTCGCAATCAGCCGGCCAAATCTGTGAGGCCATTGCTTTGCAGGGTTATTGTTGGTTTGTAGGTCTCACTCTTACCTAGTTGAGGGGATGTTGTTTTCTGATAAACCAGCCAGCGTGCAGGGCGATCAGCTTGCTGAGGAGGCTATCGAGTGGACATTGGAGTTCGCATATGTCTCATTGAAGAGGCAGGATTGCCAGCCTCACTTCTTCAAGATTCAGAACCTCGACAATGGCAAGGGCGGAGCTGCCGGTTGGTTTGCGGCTCATTTGCAGAAGTTCTTGTTGGTGCGACACTTGCTGGAAGTTCCCAAGAAGATGGAGCTTTCGGACCTCCAGGACGCAATGTCACTGTTGAGCACTCCGCTTGCCTGGAACAGCAACTATCCCAAAGTTTCCGACGACGAGAACACGGAGGCGGAGGAGCAGAAGCCAACACACAGCGATGCCGTCTCAAAGGCTATAGCCAAGCTCACGGAGGAGCACAAGTCGTTTTTCTTGTTTGCCAAGTGCCTTATGGAGGGTGACTTCAACAAGAACTTGAACGAGATGTGTGGCACCAAAGGCTTCCGCATCGTGTCAGCTTTGTTCAACCAAGACAATTCGTCCGCCCACAAGAACATGGAGATTGTCATTGAGCTCAACAAGGCACTGAAGGGACTTACAGAAACAAGGCCAGTGAGCACCACTACCTCCTCGGAGGCACCGGGTCTCGGCGCCAGGGCGTTGGCTGTGCTTCAAAATGAGGAACAGGATCATGTGCAGCGAGAGAGAGCTGAGGTCTGGTCCAAAGCGCAAGCTGCCAGGAA